ATCCAGTCTCTGAANTTTCTAGTACGCTACTGTCCCATCTGTATTAATACTATAATTTACGCCTACCGAAAGCTTATTTGTGTATCGGTTCCAAGTGACGTACCCAAATAGGTCATAAATGGGCAAGTACCTGCGCGACCGCTCGCCAGCTTACTTCGTCAGACCTGTACCATGCTATTTGATGTGACTAATTCATCACCAGTGTGCCGAAATCGTTGGTTTTTAGGATCTTTCAAATGCGGAAAAATTAAAAAACATGGCACAAATTAGGAAAAACTTTTCATAGCCCTTAAAGCGTTATACTTGTATACTTATACTTATATAATAAGTTATAGAGGATTAATATTGAAGATGAACACATTTTTAATAGGAGAAATTTGGAGAAAACAAATCCGGAAGTGAGCTTTCAGATGTCGACGTTCTGCTTTCATGCAAGCTTTTGGTTTATATGTGTTCTTTAGCTATCGAAATACAGTTTTTGTATCTATATAAATAAAACTGAATCGCTAAATGTGTTGCTAAGCGCAAAACTAGAGAAAACGGCTGGACCAATTTCGAGAAATATTCCTGGAAGTCCGAGGAAGGTTCTTATGAAGGCAAAATCTGGAAAAATTGCCCAGAAGAACGTAATAACCTCATTTTCTTTTTCCAATACAAACTATAGAGTAAACAAAACAAAAGCGCCTTAGGATTATCTTTGGTATGTCTTCAAGACGATTAGGCTGTATGTTATATGTTATATTTATTTATTTCTTCTATTAGACTACGACAGGTCAGTAACTTTTGACAGAACGAACCCTGTCGGAGCAGCTAATCACTACATAGTCTAAAACAAAGTCGCTTTCCCGCTGTCTGTCCCTATGTATGCTTAAATCTTTAAAACTACGCAACGGATTCTGATGCGGTTTTTTTTAAAAGATAAAGTGATTCAAGACGAAGGTTCATATGTGTAATACATGCATAATATAGTAGGGAAACACTGATAATTTTAGAGATTTCTAATGTGATGTCGTAAATAAACACATTTTTTGCGCTTACATTGCAAACTCTGGCTGAACCCTACGAGATAGATCAAAATAACGTACCACAATATTGTACATCTTCAAAGGGTCTACAAAAAAGTCCGTGATGGTATTATCTCTGAGGGATAACCCACAATAACCATTTTTATCATTTATTTTTTATGAGAAATAATGACTTATTTACGAAGCGATTGTAAGCAATACAGCATTAATTCTTATCCAATTAAGTACCTTAAATACATTGTGCATTTAATATAAATCAATATGGTCCTTACAAAATGTAATTTAAATGAATATTTTCGAAGATATTACAGATTTAAAATGCAGGGACATAGTGATTGCGGCGGTACCGGCCGGGAAGCCGGTTTGTATTATCTAATGACAAAAAAACTGTGAATGTTGTATATAAAGACATTCTGTAGTATATTTACTATGCTCAGGGAGTATCTTTTGAAGATTTCCCTTTTTCGATAATAATCTAAACAAAACAAAAATATGTGCGGGTGATGCGAAGCTGGGCCGGGTCACTAGTTTAATATAAAACAGTCAATTTTTATTGTGAAATGAAGGAAACGCGTTTCAACAGCTTTGTTAGAGATGTTTCTACAGCCTTTTGGCAACTCTTCCTTTATGTACCTAACGCTTTTTATGATTTCAATAAACAATTTTACGCCCCGTGTTACACATTTTGTTACCAGATTAACATAATATTGATGTTAAAATTGAGTAGCATTTAAAGAAATTGGAACTTGATGACTTTATGAAGCTTTTCAACAAAATCATAATCATTTACGATAATATTATTCTACTGTGTACGAAAGCAAGCAATCTTCAAACGTAAGCCTGCTAAATTTTGTTCAAACAAATTAATCTCGGATAAACGGGATGCGCTTGTGTACTTTTGAAATTATTAAAAAACAAATTGGTTCGGAGTGTGCTTTAATATGCGAGCTTGAACTTCCAAAGACTTTAATCCTTCAAGCAGCGAATATCAGGAATATAAGTACACTATCTCTGCTAAAGCTGTATTAAATGCACACAAATCTCATATTTAATTCCACTAAAATTTTATTAAACGTCGCGCCCTCAAGCTAAAAAGCAAGAAACAGTAAATAATATAATATCTGCAGTATGATTAGAATATCTACTTCAGACTCTGTAACGTTAAAAGGAAAACTGAGTGTCATTATACAGGGTATAGAAGTGAATATTTGTTAGAATACACCAAACGGGTTGAATGAAGTAGAAGAGCAAAATAGAGGGAGTACCGGAACCTAAAACTGTTAATTTCAATCAAATTAGATACATCGGAGCTAGCAGAAATGAAAAGGTATTAGAAAGAATTGGTGATCAGAGGTCAATAAGAGATAGGTGGGATAGATTGGTAGGACACTTTTTTAGGTATGATGGGCTAGTAAAAGACATAGTAGAGGCAGAAACAGGAGGTATACTCCGTTTAGTTTCTGTATCGATGTGACCTTCAGTTTGACCGGCGCAAAGTAGAAAAGAACAGCACTAAGCCAGAAAAGAAAGGAGACAACTCTCGACCAAACTCTTAACCGGTTAAGAGCGTATAATCCGTACAGTACTGCACGGAAAAATTGACCATTTAATCCACTACAATTGCATTGCTCAAATGTACTGTTATTGGTACCATTTACTACTGAAAATATCAACGAGATGGTTATTTATATTTGAAGACACATTAAAGGCTTTAACGCTTGTTTTCGATTCGCACTACTAATCATGACTGAACAAAACTATTGGCCGGTACTGTATGAAAAAGTATGTTTAATGAACAAGAGTCGAGAGTATAATGAGCTTTTTTCTCCCTACCTACGATTTTGCCAGCGCGCATCCAAGACATTGGAAGGGGCACATCGCTAAAGAAAGTAAATGAAGTATAAAAGAAGTATAGGTAGACCTAGATTAGTTTTAGGGAAATGCGAAGATTAGGTCAGGATAGGAAAGAGTGGAGGTGCATGTCCAACCACTCGGGACTGACGATCTTATGATGATAACGTCGTAGCTGGTTTGATTGGTAAAATCCGGAAAATTGGAATGAAAATTCCACATTATCGGTAGACTATCATTTCGGTATTGCTATGGAGTTTGTTTTATGGGAACTAGGGCCGTCACCACATTCGGATTTTTTTGTCAAAAAAAAAAACAGGAAATTATATGGCATATTGTATACCACCAACATCCGTAATCAATTAATTTCTTATACCAAAATATAAACACTATTTTAAGTAGGTAGAACATAATAATTAGGTACATTAATTTTGTTTGTTTGTACTTTTATAACTGTTTGAACATTTAGTGTCAATGTTTGCGTGCATATATCACAGTGTTTATTACACATATTACAACAATAATTTCCTGTCATTTTAGCATTACAATTACCGTCGGTTTAATTACATTATGCGCCTATTCCCAGCGGCAGATGCCTCTTCGATTCGTCAAACACAGACACTTATATCGATCGGCAATTAGTTAATTAGTGGACATAATGCGGTAATAAAGGACATTTACGGATTCACTTTCAATGACCTGAGTCGTAATTAATGTCTCTTTGATCATGTTAGTCGCTAACATACCTAAGTAAAACGCTTATCAAAACATGAGCGCATGTCTGTATCCACCCGGGGAAAATTTTAATTAAAATTACCGTCTTCAATACGACTAATAACGGAAATGACTCGTATAAATTCAAATAGAGCTCGTTAAGTAACACTTAGATAAGTGGCATACAGAAAATAACATAAGGCATTTATAAAAATTAACAACGGATATTTTCGTAACGTATAATTAATGTTTTCAAATGCTATAATCTTAAATTTTGGATATGTCCCGACTAGAATTTATAAGGGGCATGCTCCATCTAACATGCGGCTAATGAGGGGCATGCCGATGTAAGGATTTCCCCGTAGGTTCTTCATGAAAATCCCACCAAAAAAGTGGTGATACTGAAATTAGGATTATGGGTTTTTCATATGGGTCTTATGGGACAAACCTAACACATGTATAAACTTACAATTAAATCTACCTTTTGGTTGCTCGATGAGGCAAATCCGTCTGAAAATACTTTCAGTAAAATGAAAAAACTTGATTACAACCCCTTGCCGTTGTAGTCGTTTCAATGAAATCTTTTTCATTTGCAACGAACCAACAAGTGTACTTCCTGATGTTTTTATAAAAAAACTGAAACCAGACGCATCAAGTCGAACAACAGTAAAACGATTGCAATTTAAAGTATTATTGATCACAAAAAAGCTCAATAACACAATTTTACTTAAGACTAAACAAATTCTACAAATATGTGATATATATGTATATATTCCTTCAAATGGAGATATAAATTGTACTGAAATTTGTGGAAAACTACTAGGAAAAAGAAAATCCCTTTATACGTATCCATGCTATGCTAAATATTTAGAAATATACCTATACTTTCTGCAAAGACTGAAGTTATTACTACCTGTAAAATCATAGATGTTGATAAAAAAAATGGTTTATCTTAATGTTAATGACGAAAGTAAAGAAATAATATGTGTTTTAGCATTGCTACATATTGCAGCGAGCACGAGTGTTTGTGTGCGATTGGACACACGTGTACGTGAACGGCTTATCGATTCGCCGGCTAACCGCGGGCGCCTTTCTTCATGTGCGCCGTATTTGTAAATGCGTGTGCCGTACCTGCGTTCTGGGAAAGCAGTTAAACAGTTCTAAGAAAAACTAAACGATCCGGATGTTTATAGAGGGTTCCGGAAAGGAAACAAAAGAGTATTTAAAGGAAGAGACAATTGGCAAGAAGAAGAAACAAATTGACCGTTGCAGAAGTGAATTCAGAAATAAATTGACAGTGGTAGAAGTGAAATAAATAGCGCAGTGAATAGTGATATATCAACAGTAGTGTAAATAAATAGAATAATTCATAACCTTAGCTTAGTAATAATTTAATANTGCGATTGCGATTATACGAAAAAATTCCGAATGTGGTTGCAAGTGAATCAGGGGAAAGTGTCTGACTTTTCACGCGTCAATTGTTTCTTCAGTAATAACACTAGTAGCATAGGACCCCCGATATTAGATAACACCACGTGCACCGTAGTTTCGGGAAAGTCCCGGGCGATGGTGGAAAGCCAGGCAATGAACGATTACCTGTCGGTCTTGCTGATTGCGATGTGTTTGTTCCTGTCTAGTGTGGTAATAATGTGCGGAGCCTTCTATTACCGCAGGGAACTGAGAGTTTGGATTTATTCCCGGTGTGGGTTACGAATGTGCTACAAAACGACCTCGTTCGAAGAGCAACAAGACAAAGACAGACTCTTCGACGCGTACGTATGTTACAGCGTGAAAGACGAGGCGTTTGTTCATCAAGTGTTGGCTCAGGGTCTCGAAGGGGGTGAGCCCAATTACAGGCTGTGTCTGCACTATCGCGACTTCAACGTGTCCACGTACGTTGCGGACACTATCATAGAAGCGGTCGAGTCCTCGAGACGGACTATCCTGGTGCTGTCAAAGAACTTTTTGTACAACGAATGGTGCCGTTTCGAATTCAAATCCGCGCTCAACGAGGTGCTAAAAGACCGAAGACGAAGACTGATATTCATAGTGACCGGCGAGATACCGCAGAGGGATCTCGATCCGGATCTTCGCCTGTATATTAAGACGAACATTGTGATAGAATGGGGAGACAGACAGTTTTGGCAAAAGCTCCAGTTCGAGATGCCGGACGTGAAACGATCGTGTGTACATCAACGGTCGGCGGTCAATATTTACGCAACAAACACTCCGATGCATCTGGAGAGATCGAGGAGTCCGGCACTTCCGCCACCTCCGCCTCCTGGTAAATTGCCGCCGTTCCTACAAAACCCGCCCAGTTTACCTAGGAATTCGAGACCGTTACCGCATCCCTTGTGGGCATAGCGATTATTAAATTACAGGTATGTATTTAGTCTTTTTTATTTCTTTTAAAGCCTCTGTAAATAAAGCGCCTGGACCATTTGGCATCCTTTATTTGCTACTGGATTTGATGGATGAATTATTATTGATGTTTAAAACATATATTGAACTATTTCTACTATACCTATGTGACATCATGGTGTAAATTGGGCTACTCNTTTAATTCGTTGTGCAAAAATTCACGTAACCCTGGCGAAATAACATTTCTTATACACTACCTGCCCTTGCACTAGTTACATGCTGGTAAGGAGGTGCTGCGAATAAGAGTTAACAAGTGGTGTGTACCCTTCCTTTCTTCCAACATCATCATAGGGTCGTCAGTTTTAAGACTGGTTGGACACACACCTCCACTCTTTCTTATCCTGAGCTAATTTTCGCATTTCCCTAAAATTAGAAAAACCCACTTCCTTAACTACTTATTTGCGAACAGTTGACATTTAATCTAATCTAGGTCTACCTCTACCCCTCCTAACTCCTGTTTCTACCTATCCCGCCTACTTATTATTGATTTCCATAGAGTCCTCTGTTCTGCTATTCTTTATAACATCTCTTCATTTCTAACCTTCTCTAACCACAGTATCTACAGCGAATAGGGAATGTACCTATACTACATGATTTATTCGTGAGGGTGTCTTCAAAAATACCACGTATAGTTACAGGGGAAGGGGGGCCTAGGTTTTCGTCACGTACTTAGTCAATATCCTCTGGAGAAATCTCACGCTATTACGAGGTATATTCAAAACTTTCTGATGTTTGCAAAAAATAATTTAAAACCATATTTATGAAGCACTACATGAAAAGTAGTGGAGGAGAGGGGGGTTTGTTATATACTACGGATGGTCACCTAAGGGGGGAGGGGTAAAAATTATAAAGAATGGTCCGACATTATTGTAGAAGATATAAACTACTACGTATTTTTGTCTTAAGGTTGTCATCTGTTTAGACGTACGCTTAAATCATAACAAAAAAATCTATGCTGAACAGTTAAATTTATTGTGTCTGAATGGCGTCCAAGACAAATAGGTTTCTAACTGTATGTATATTGTTTTGCTGACTGTGGCCAAGCCCATAGGTGCACCTAGTATACACGAGCAATCACAGTCCTGTTAGTGCTCCAAATATCAATGTGTCGAGTTGAAAAAATCATCTGGGCAATTTTAATTTACCTTTCATCGATTCGTCTTTTTTTTTTTTTTCGTTTGGAAGTTGTCTGACCTGGCCAATAGACTTCGTTGGCATTCTTCAAGAGCACCAGAGTAAAAGAGCAATATAACAAATTGTAGGTCAACCACGGATAACAAAAGGTATACGTAGTAGATGCCAGGCAGTGTGAGAAACAGCCAAAGTCATCGAGTTGCTGCCTCCTGCGGTGTAGTATCGGGACCCTGCTGAGCTAATGGGTCTGCTTGCGATGAATAGGACCCGTGTTTTAATTTTAAAAGGCTTGCTTCTTCCATTCATCAGCGCCGTTTTTTCAGTGCCCGGTTACAGTTTGAGGTGGCCGCTACACCAACCAAACACAAATTTTCAAAAAAGAAACAAAGAGATCATTAGATCGTAAGTAGGTAAAAAATTACAAGTCGCATTAACTTCACCCTCTTTTAAAAGAAGTTCTACCAATTCTTAAAAAAAGGAACTGTATTCGGACTGGACAACCGCCTTTATAATATTTTCACGAATTAAAAACAGCAAACGGTGTCTCTTTATCTCATTTATCCAAGGTGTTACAATGAAGTTTCGGGAACTAGTAAATAAAACTGTATTTGTAACCAATTTTATTATGAGCCTTCATAGTAGCCACCCCCTAGCTCCATACAGATACACCGTTGCCACCGCCTTTACCACTCATGGAAAAATATTTTTGGAAGTATGGGTTTCGTAACCGTCATCGACTCTTGAGAAGAAAATTCATTATTGGGAAGAAGAAAAAGTAACACAGGATTAATCCGCGCAACATATGTGGCGACGTTGGTACTTGCGACATCCTTTCGTTAGGCGCTCTTCCCCCACTTCTACCCATCGCTGATTTCATCAAAAAGTGTATCAGTGATTTGATTCATTCATGTTTGCTACCCACTAAAAATACGGACAAATCATGAATGAAGCGACCGACAGTTTTCAAATTTCTACCAGTTCTAATGGAAGCTTCACGATTTGCATCAACATGAGCTTGAACCCCCGCGGTGTTTTTATGTGAGGAATTACAACTATATTCCCGGAACTTTATTACCACGCCTCGTATACGAATGCCGCAGGCGATCGATACCGACGGCACCTTTGATATGCTCGAGAGCCGGCAGATGCGGGCCATAAATCATTCAACCAACAAGGCTGGCATGAAAAAAGAAACTTACATGAAATTTCCGGGTATTATTAGGAATTTTCTGTGATCGTATAAATAACTGTGGACAGTTCTTATGTTAAAGAAGTAGCAATAGATATGAATGAATATCGATCAAAAAATAGATAATTATTTCATTAATAGATGGCATTACCTTTCGTATTATGACTAGAGAAATAAAATACTGCAATTGTGAGGAACATTTTTTTTTTTTATTCCATTAAGTTCTGGTTGTAATAGACTGTTTTTCCTTCCAGATCATTTTCCGGTTGTGTTTCGTTTTAAATTTTTGCATGGTAAATTTTATGGCAACTTAACTGATTTTATCCGTAATAAAATCCGGCAACGAAGCTTAGTAATTTTCTTCCTACAGATTAGTTTCCTCTTTTAAATCTAGTCTATAAATTTTACGATATGTATCTTGCGCGGATAATTTGCAAATGATTTATACCCTTCTTTGAAAATCTGTGGCCTGCGAAGGAGTTTCTTAGCAGTCCGGAGAAAAAAACGATTAAATTTAAAGTTGAATCAGCGTTGGCTATGTGCCATGAGAGGTAAAAAGTTTAACGCAAACGCTGCGAAGATTCTAACAAAAGCGAGAGAGAGCGATATTGCTTCAGAAGGATCTAACTAAGTGAGCTTTTTTAAGACTTTTCAATTTCATAATATTTTTAGATAATTATTTTATCACACTTTATTGTACTTATTTTATCAGGGGGCTTTGAGTTGTTTTCAAATTCAAAAACAAATAAGTATAAAGTTGTAAAAAATCAAAAGACAGCCAAAAAAATCTTTCGTGTAAATAGCTCAATATAATTATTTTAATTAGCATATCTTTAGAAATATTAATATTTATTAATCTAGGTACTGAGAAAAATTTATTTTTATTTTAAGTTGAAGTCATAGTTAGACCGGTTTATCCAATTTCCGTTTAGAGTATTAGTACAAAGAGTTAGGTTATCGTTGCGTTTGTCTTTACATATGGCGGACGTCAACTACCATGATGTATCAACTAATAAATAGATAAGGTATCAAATCAAACAAAATTTCGGAAATGCATTTAAAATTGCAGTCAAGGTTGTAGTATTGGTTAGATAACGATTTCAATTCCCAATGAGAGCATCAGTAGAAAGAGTTAGGTTATCGTTGCGTTTGTCTTTACATATGGCGAACGTCACCTGCCATGATGTATCAACTAATAAATAGATAAAGTATCGAATCAAAAGGAATTTCGGAAATGCATTTAAAATTGCAGTTTGATTTTAATTTTAAAACCAAATCATTTATTTATTTCGTATTATTATGCCGTTTTATCTGAATAGCAACAGGTACTAGACATGAGTCCCTTATTGTGCCACATTGTTACATTACGTATTGAACTTGTCTGGCAAGAAACAAAAAAAAGACACCTTAAGAACTTGCTGTTGTTTCAATGACGTTCACATAACTAACAAGCTCCCAACCTGCAATCTTGTTCCAAATATAAATCTAGATTCAATCTAGATTAAAATCCGTTAACTAACTGGTATAAATATATATACACACACCTGCTTCGATACATGCATATCTAGCATTATTCCGAATCGTCAATTCGAAACACTAAGAACAAGAGAGATCAAGTTACCTGAATGATTATCGGTTTGTACATGATAGAAATTGTTTTTAAATTAAAATCACAAGTAGATCTCATATTTGTTGATAGAGAAGGTAAAGTAAAGATAAAAGTGTTTGGAAGGAAATAGACGAGATGGGTTGGTAGGTCACCTTCTCAGACAGAAAGGGTTAAAGACATATTAGAAGATAGGAAGGTGGAGGTGCGTGTCACGATGACGACACTGGATTTTGCAGACTGTTTTATTAACCTTTGTAACACGTAACATGTATTCCGGTTTCACCATTCGAATAAAAGAAAAATTGTTGGGATTGAATCGATTAATTTTAACGAAGAAGATCCACAAAGAGCGGTCTCTATTTGGTTATTCTCTAAGCAGTTATCTCCCAAAATCAGTTGCCGCAATCGAGATGTAATGCAGCTCTAACTGCGAGAGCTGCCACCTGCGATCCTGGTCACAACCTCCACAACCCTTTATTCTCTCGACGAGTCCGGTTGACGCTAATCGTGACAAACGACGAGAACTGTCTCTCGAACTCGAACTGGTTTTTTAGACCTTTACGTACTTATACAGGACAGGCAAGTTGAGAGTAACTGCAATGATCAAAGGATAGCATCATCTTTTGAAAAATACGGCGTAGTATCAGGAAGACCCTGCAAACACCTTCAGTCATCTTTTGAAATAAATATAACGTTATATAAGTCCATGCAATAACAGAAATTTAAATTCTTAGAGAGGTGTTCTGCTTTATCTAAAAGATTCTGAGATTTCGATGAGTTAAGGACGGTTTATAGAGAAGCAAGCGATATTTTCAGATAGATACGGTTGAAAAACATATTCCAGAGATACCTAACGCGTATCTGTATAATTGATTTGAGTGGTTTTTACTTTTAAATCTCTCAACCGAAAGCATCTAGTTGCGCCCAGAGGTAACAGCGAGTCAAGCACGGCAAGACAATGGCAAGACATGTTAGCCGCTTTATTTAACTAGCGTAGCGGTTAAACTTAAGAATGATGCTTGA